CAGGCCAAGGGCAGTTGGGCACATGTAACCATCAGGCCCTGGGCCTGCGTGTGAGGTCTGTGCCTGTGCCTACCGGGCCCTACCGGAATCTTCCTGGACTGGACGCAGGCAGGTCACTTCGATATAGGGAAGGGCCTGCCTCCTCATTCGACATTCGGGTGCTGGCTGCATGCTGCGCCAGCGCTGTTGCGCTATTTGCTGGTTGGCTGGCACTCACGCTCTCACGGGCGAGCAAGAAGGAGCGGGCAGCCATAGCCGAGCTGCTCCGCTGTGAGCTGGGTGTGACGCAGGGTGGTCCTTGGGTGCAAGTGGCATCTGTGTGGTGTGGATCGGGGTTGTGAGTGTTGCGAGAGACATACCTGGTGCTGGAAGCGTGTGGCATTGTCCGCTGTATGCTCGTACTTCGGGGAGTTGTTGTTGTCAACATCGGCATTGTAGTATTAGGCTAGATAGGATCTGCCACAAGTAGTCTGGGCGCCGAGCGCCAATAGGATATCAACTCTTGTTCTTCGTTGAGGATGATGAGAGACTATTTCAGCATTGCCAATTACGAACTATTGGTGTGTTCTGATTTGGTGAATCTCGTGATGCATGACTGCTATTGGTTCGAGGTCAAGACTATCTGGACACATATGTATGATGTTGTTTGATTGCTGGAGTTCGCTAATGCTCATCTTCCTTGCAATTTGGTATCGAAGCTGTGGTACGATTGCGCTCATCTGGCGCTTGTCTTCTRCCTTATGCGGTACATACATGCGGTCTGCTGGGAGAGTTTGGCCGTAAGTGGTGTGTAGTGAGGAGGGTGGAGACGAGTGTGAAGGCGACCCAAGTGGTGAGGGGCATCGCCTGGAAGGCTAAGGTGTAAATATTGGGTGTTTGCAGTGTGATGAGAACTATTTGTTGGGTGATTGAGGCTGAGGTGGAATGGCGAAATGCTGGTTGTGCCGATGCTGTGACTGGTCATCGCAATCATCTTCAGGTCATCTGGTGAGATTATCTCTGTGGTTGGGGGCAACATGAACGAGGTACGTTGCTCTTAACCTTATCTACCCTCTTCATCACTTCTTACCGTGAGGTTGTGAGTTCTGTCTTGAGAGTCCTCTCATTGTGAGGTGTCGAGTGCGCTCAACCTTGAGAGTCGTGATTGTTCACGTGGAGCATCTTGGGGGGAGACGGGCGGAGCTTCTTGAAGGGCCCTGGACGAAGCACTCGGGTCACAGTCACCATGCCAACCCGCTGGGACTAGTACACGCATGCTTCGCTGCAAGTCGTTGGTTCTGCTGCTTGCGCATGATAGGGGTTAACTCGAGT